TTAAAACAATTAAAGACCTGAAATATTTCAGTTGGTGTGCAATGAATCTGAAATATATGAAAGTTTCATTTTTATCATTACATTATGGAAAATAATGACCTTCATCACAATATGCTAATTTTTTGAGAAGGACCTGTACATATATCCGAACCCTTAGTGGCAGGAAGAGATGACTGCAGCGTACGTTTTAATCGTGCTGGAGGCCAAGTTCCTGTCCATCAGCTCTTGTAGAAAGGACAGCATGTCACCTAATGGACATGAGGTGGCCTCTACACCTTTCTCTGTACACCAGCGCTGAAAAGCTGTCCGCTTTGATGTGTACAGCGCTGTGGTAGATGCAACATGTGAAACCTGAATTGTGCGCACTACATCCTGTGGGAGACCCATCCTCTAGCGGATCCGTTCAGCGGCCAGACACACAGGTGCTGGCCTATTACTGGGTAACTCCTGGTCGCTCCTCCTGCCTCGAGGAGAGCATCCTCCCTCCACGGCAGTTTCCACGGGCGCCCCGACAGCAGGCGTCGCAGGACTGAGAACCATGATGATTAAAAACATTTAAATGAGCTGCTGTGTGGAGAACCACAGCGCCCCCACAGCTCGTTAAATGTGTGTGCCTTTGTGAAGTCTGACATGTGTGACGTAGGTCTGCTGACGGAAAACAGCTGATATCACTCAACCGGTTCACGTGAGTTGCACTGCTGCCACCTGTCTGTACAAACTGCTCAGCAGCAGCAGGTGTCCAAATAAAGCAGAATTCTCCTCCCTGCTCTGTGCGGCGGCTGCAGAGCAGCTCGGGCACATTAATGGAGTGTTGTTTCTCACAGTTCAAAATTGACAAATCTAGAATAAATCTCATCTTTCCGGTTCGTTGGGACCAGGGAGTGACGAGAGAGGAACGCTGCGTTTTCCTCTCCTTCTGAGACTCTGGAAAATTACATTTAAATCAGAATTTCCTGAGCTTCTGCAAGAGGGGATGAGATCTGTTCTAGAAATGATAGAAAAATGTCATTAGAGTTCCTCCGCACCAGGTTTGAGCTGTACTGCAGCGTGAATCCCCGGATGAAAACGGTTCGCCTATCCGTCTGGAGCGCGCGCTCATTGCCACTCGTTATAAAGTTATCAAGCGGCACGCATTGATGCTGTGAACTCACATGCATGCTGATGTGAGATGATGCGTGCTGAAGGAGAAAGAAAAAACGCGTGCCCCCGAGCATGCAGATCTTTGTGCGTTTGCTGATACTCTGGGACACAGCTCATGTGTTGTGCTCACGTTGTGTGCAGCTGCTCCGTGTAAACGCTCGAGGAGCGGGTGCAAGTATGAGCCGACGTGCCCTGAAGAGTCGTGTGTGCGCACACTCATTCATGCGACGCCTTAAGCCAGGATTGCCGCGGAAGCGCGTTTGACGCTGGTGCGGTCAGGAAGCAGCGTGCGGCATCGGTGGAGCGAGGTTACCACTGGGCTCGGTCTGCAGAAACACGTTCATTCTTGGCTGCGAATCACGTGAGCTTTTGAGTGATTCCACGAGTTGCAGTATTAATTCAGAAAACCTTCTTCGAGGATGAAGGAGCGGAGCCGCTGTGAGGCTTGTGAAACTGTTGACGCCGCGGGAGCGCGCGTTTGACACCACTGTGATGAAAGCGCGTGTCGCTCCTGCCGAGAGCGAGATACGTTACTGGGCTCGTACCGCGGTCTCATGTTAACATTGACGTGAACGGCGGGCGCTGAGAGTTGCGTGCGCGCTTTCATAACGCAGCGTCTTATAGGTGAAGGCTACTCGAGCGTGTGTTGGCACCGCTGGCAGTGAATGAAACAACCTTAAAAGGCTCATTCGTGATGAGCGTGTGTGATGGGGCCGCTTGTCAGATCATTCGTGCTGACAGCCTGGCTAAAAGACACTTCATCATAAAATGATGTTATTCCACATCTTGTGTCGTCAACACACCTCCAGCAAACAGACACCTGGTTATCTTCCCTTGAGCTCTGTTTGTTGTCCTAGAGGGCCCCCTGTTGGTGGAGTCCGGGAAAAATTGAACTTCCGGATGTCGAGGACGTCTGACGGGAGGGGCTGGCGTAGCAGAGCTGGGGAGGCGTTGTGCAGCCGTGGAG